AGGAGAATACTTATTCACATGGATCATATTTAGCAAAGGAAAATATGTCACTTATTATTTCAGAGAATTCAAACAACAATAAATCTAAAATGCTCAAAATAATTACTAAAAAAAAGACTTTATGAAACAAATTTCTATAGACCTCGAGTGAACTGTGAGAAAAGAATTCACTAGAATAGAGATCACGAAAATTAGTATAGTATTCTTATGAATTCCATTCCCACTATATCACCTAAAATATCGACCTTAATACCTTTAATTTTACTAATCGTATTAAATTCACTATACAGAGTTCATAGTCGACATCAGAAAATGTAATTCATTTTCGTAGATTTTTGCGGACTACTAAAAATGTCCTGAACAAGAAAATAAAGCATTACTGTAAATACTACTCTGATCAAATGCGAAATCGGGCCATTGAGAGTGGCAGTTCGTATAGGGATGAAAACGATGTATGGTGAGTTGTTACTAAAGGTTCACTTACAGCATCTCAATAGAAAGGTCCGGTCTTTTTAAAAAAATGGTCATCTTTTGCAAGATTATAAAGAAGTATTTTGTATTAATGCGTGTGTTCAGTGGTAGTCTTCAAAACAGAACTCAGTAAACGAAGGGATACGATGATTAAATAAAACCCACTCAATTACCAGCGGACCATGCTGACGAGAACTATTTACTCTTTCATAGGTGCGTAGCAAGACATAAGTTCTGATCTTCCTCTTCTTGAGTACCATATGCTCAACGAAATCACATCCTTTCAGTAGAGGGTTAGCGACGTTTGCGTCGCGTTATCTTGTGTTTTAAACTATTGTTTATTGTATATTTCAATTTTAAATTCTGTTGTCTTTATTTATTACCTTTGACTTTCTTTATTATGACCCGTAAATATGAGAAATACACACGTCAATTCAAACACAATGTGCTTCAAGAATATCGTCCTGGAATTTACAGTTATGGATTTAAAGCATTAGCTAAACGTTTTAAGATTAAAGGTGGTCATAAACTTATTATGAGTTGCTACCGTCGATGGAATGGTGGTGTTGATTCTTTAAAACCAACATCTAAAGGTTGTCGGTCACATACAATGACACGACAACAAGTTAGACATTACATTTTAGAATTTGTTGGATTAATGAATAACAAATATGTAGCTGTTGATTATAATGTGAGTCAAGAACATATTGAATCTGTGCTGAAGCGAAAAGTACCGATACGTACAATCAGACGATACGGTAAAGAATGTGGCATAAAATGGAAAAAACCTTCTGAAATAACCTCACGTGATGGTTAGTACATATTTAGTTAATGATTATTAAATTATCTCATCAATATCTCTTTCTACATGTTTTTAGCTGAAAATAGCTTTTGGAAAAATATTGGTCGATTTAGAAGATCATTACAACGAATAGGCAATGATCGATTGATCTTTATTGATGAAACAGCTATATATTCTATCATGATTCCTTATAAAACTCTTGTCGCTCCTGATAAATAACCATTAATCTTAGTTACACAACCTACAGCATATGCGAAACGATATGATTTTGTTGGTGCTATTAATGGTTCTCAATCGATTGCATGTATGACATTGACTCCAGAAGATCGTAACAAGTGGCGAATCAAAGGTGTTAGACAATGGGTGATAAATAAATGGATCACTGATACATTAGCACCAGCAATCAATCGCTTAAATATTGACAACATTTATCTTATATGTGATAAAAGTAAGGTATGTTCAGATTTCCGAAAAAGGAAATTACAGAAATTTCCGAAGCTTCCATCAACTCGATAACTACATAGCAAAGCAAATGAAAATATTTTGGAAATATTGGAAAATTTAGAAATTTTAGAATTTTCTGTAATTTCGGAAATTTCGCTACGTATAGAATTTTGGAAATTTCAGAAATTTCGGAAATTATATAATTTTGGGAAATACCAAACAATTTAGAACACAAGTGCTTGAAATTTCCAAAATTTCAGAAATTTCCTTTTTTGGAAGTCTGAACACTGCTGATAAAAGTAGAGCTCATAATAAAGCAAATATGATTCAAGCATTACGAGCTGGTAAATGTAAATCGGTTAAAAAGATTTTATATATGCCAACAGCATCCGCAATATACGTTTCACCATTAGATAATCCACTGTGGTACTCTTTTAAAAACGAATTCGAAATCAACATACATTATGTATAATTGATATACCTTCAATGCTTTCCGAAAAATTCCATTTGTTATCTAGACAAGAAATTAAAAATGCATATCGCAAATGCGGCTTGATATATGGAACTGATGAATATTATGACAAATCTTAACATTATTTTTATAGATTTTTGTATTATAATCTAGACATAGATACATATTGTAGTAAAAAAAATGTTACTTTTTCTTCTAATACATTTTTGTGTACTCAAAAAGTGAGTACACTACTAAAATCGGTCAGTGTGTCCGGCCGTCCGTCCGTCCGTTTATCCGATAACTTTCGAAAGGGGAGTCCGATCGCGATGAAATTTTCTACACAGTTCAGTCTTAACAATATCTCAGTCGAGTTCGAAGATGAGAAGGATTGGCCGAGCCCTTCCTGAGTTATTGCAAAAATACTCATTTTTCCCTGCACCTTCCCTATGGAAAGATCGACCCATCCCCACTTTCGTAGAAGACTTTTCCTATCATAGTCAACTAAAACCCCAACTATTATATACCATTTGATAGAGAATTTCACGAGCTACAAAATGGTATATAAAACATAAAGAAACAAGAAGGTTGGCTCATCTATCACAAAGATAATTAAAGAGAACTAGGTTATATTTTTGTCCACGATCTAATTGATTCACAAATAGAGCTCTATCTTCCGATCACAGTGATGATACTTCGAGGTTTTCTGAGATGGAGAACTCGAATCTGTATTCCACTTCCACCGAAATACTATTGGTTGAGCAGTGACCAATAGAAATCAAGTTATAGGAAAAACGACTTTCTTAGGGTAAATCAAGGGGAAGAGTTCAAATTTGAGCTGTATTGGGTCCCAAGTCCTATTGGTTTGGCAATACTCAATAGAAATCAACAGTTTAGATGGTAGGTTCCCCAGTATAATTTTGATGTCCACACGTTCTAGAACGACTCGTCTGTCTGATTCACTTTTTGAAGTACACATAACTCTCGGATTTAAATCCGAAGTTTCCGCATTTATTTATATTTTAAACTGCATTTGATGTTCAACGTAAATATATCAAAAGATGCAGCGCGTTCCGGGCTTTCTCGCTATATATAGTAACAAAAACAAAAGAAATAAAGGAGGGAAATTCAATTGGCTTCTGCTGTATATTTTGAACTGGCATATTGACATCGAATGTAATCTTTATTTCTAACTAATCGATCATCTTTAACTAAAAGCCATTCGCTAAAGTGGCACACAATTGACCGATTTCACTTTTGTTTGATGAGAGTTGCACCAAACTTGGCAGCTAAAATCCGAACAAAAATTTTCCTTTAATAAATGTATTTGCCTTCATTCAAGACTTACACTTGTTGTTCATCGGTACTTGAGCGTGTGTTGTTGCAATATATTCTTTCAATTCGGACAATTCTTGGATTTGTTGAAGTAGTCGTTGAACATTGGGATATTGCTCAAGCAGTGTATGTTCATCGTCAAAGGAGAGACAATAATCAGTATATTCATGTAGTAGAAAATCAGCCACGGTCGATTGATCACCAACAGCAAACTTGCTGTTCTGTTTTGCTGAGAAGAGCATCGAGCTGCTTGAAAAATACCCCGAGAACTATCTCGAGAAATTCTTTCTTTTTGGCATCTGAACCACCGTTTGGTTTATTGCAAAGGGCTCTAAACTTAGCGCGAATATCGTATGCTTCTTCACAGAGCATCATTACAAGTGCTTCCTCTTGTGGAGTTGTACCCATAAGATTATGTTTACGACCGAGATAGTACAGAATGGCCCTGGATTGAGTGATTTGAACATCACCGTCAATCAAATAGGGCAAATTCGGAAAATCTGAATCAATAAAATCAAGGCAGACATGGGTAAAGATGTTAGAACAACTAATCTAAGCCAAGTTTGAACTTTTCGCTGAGCCATTGGTCACGACTGTATTCTGGACCACCGCCTACTTCGTATGTTTTGTTTGTAAAAGGCGTTTTTGTATAATGAAGAGCCAAACGAATCGGTTCGGCTATGGCACGGATTGCCCAGTAGCCGAGCACGATTTGGTTTTTATCAGTGTTAGATTCAGCCATGTTGCTTGTTTGTCGTCTGTTGAAATAATCTAGAATTTTTATAAAGCGCAACTGTTAAGGTGTAACATTCAATTGGCATGGGTTGAGCAGATGATCATGTCACCACATGTTATTGAAAACGAAATCATCACATACGTCGGTTGAACGAAAGCAACTATATCATCTTAGAATCGATCAATCTGTTAGAATGAATATAACTTGGGTGTGGGTGTGGCCATTAGTGTTCACTTCACCCACACTCACACCCACACCCACACCCACATACACACCCACACCACCCACACCCACACCCACATCCACCCACACCCACACCCACACCCACACCCACACCCACCCACACCCACACCCACACCCTAGTTATTACTCATCCCGAGAAACCTATGGACATAAACATGACTCATGTTTAAATATGACTTGCAAAAATTTTTCAATGAAAACTTTTAAACTCATTTTAAATCTAT